CTTGAAGGGTTTTTCGTCCTGTGCAGCTGCAGCACATCAGGATTTTATGAGAGTGTTTCTTGTCTCCATCACTTTTTTCCATGGAACAGACAGGTAGCAATTAGTACGGAAATCTCCATCCCCCTCTGCCAAATTTAGTTGAAGTGAACCAGAAGGTTGAAATTGTATTAGAGGAAGGGATACTAGTATGGATGCATGATGAAACAGAGTTAAAAGCTTGGGAGAGGGAAGATATCCAGGTCAGAGGAACTACTGGGAGGGACAGTGGGAAGACATCCCTTACTGAAAGCTGTGGCACAACAATGAGATATCGTAGCAGTGATTGTTGTGCTTTAAGTCTGCTTTGAGCAGTGAGATGTATGGAAACAAGCAAACTTGGAGCACTTGGAGTAGAAAGGAATAAGATTGTTTCCACATTGTCTTGATGCACTATAAATGGGGCTGGCTGGCAGTGGGACTGACTGACGCACAAGGAAAAGGAGAGAATGCCAATATTGCTACCATTTTGGTTCAGCCCCTTCTTGGGAATGGGTGTCAGCAGCCAATTCTGATGGCTTTTAAGTCTCTTTCAGTTCCAGACCCCATGAACAACAACAACAAAAAATACTCATACAGGATTCTGGAAACTCTAAAAGCCTGAAAAACAGCTACTTACCCCTTTAGGAAGGTTTCCAAAACAATGGCTGGCAATAAGAATAAATGATCTAAATATGTTTCCGGAAAAAAATATTTGCTGCAGAAATAAGTGTGGATTTTACTGATCGTATGGTTTGAATTCAAAATCATGCCCAAACTTTGAATGCTCCCTTTAGATTCTTGAGGGCTTTCCCTGTTTGGGGTTGCCAAAATGCTAGTATTATGAATTTGGTATGGTTAAGGAGCTGTGGGCATTATTCTCCAGACCATTACATAAATACATAATCCAGAAAATTATTTTGAGAGATTAACATTGTTCTTATAGACAGTTGAATATAAATTTATTTATACATAGAGCAAAATAAACTAAGGCTGTTACCCAAAATATGTTGTAAATAAGCAATAGTGTTAGAGTGTTTTCTGACAACAACACATTGTTCTAGTGGACTGTCTCTTTTTAATCCATTGTCCAGTATTTGCCTCCAACACTCAGTGACAAATCTGAAGTTACATACTTACCATCACTCTTGTCAGCATTTTCTGTCCATAACAGAAAAAGGAAAGATGCCTTTCAATTTGTGTCCACTTGGATTGTGATTCAGACTGCCTACATGACTTCAAGAGACTAAGTTCCAAGTACGCAAAATGATGCGGGTGATGAAACAGGATTTATGAGGGAAAGCAGTTGTCTGAAGTATCATTTTTTAGGGATGATTTATAATTTTTTTAATCAGCTACCACAGTGACAGAGCCCAAACAGATGAAAGAGAGGAATTTGCAGCTACGAGATACTTGCCTGCTGGAAACCAGCAGCCCTAGCCAGATTACTGAAGCCAAGATACTGCTACAAGAGTAATGTATCTAATGCTATAGCATTATGTAGTCGACAGCTTTTAAAATATAAAGAAATATCTCTTAAAGCTTTTTCTATCTTGACAGGCACCTGTTTGAAGAACTTTGCCTCCTAAGCTTCTTGTTCCTCCTGGAGCTGCTGGCACACAGCTGTAGGCCTTTTCCCTTTAACTTGCCCCACGTAATACTCAGCCACAACCATTTAATATATTTTTTTAATCTGATTATTTTGTTTGTAGCAAATCTCACTTCCTTCTGAACCTTCCTGAGTCACCATGTGTCATCTGAGGAAACTCAGTGAAGTCAATCTGTGCTGTATCTGTGTAAAGAATTGATGAACAGCTGTTAAGAGTGTTATGCCTTAGGAAGTTATTATCAACAGTTTGGGCCTTAATAAAGGCCTGGTTCTGTGACTAAATGGGGCAGGGGAAACCATGGACCCATGCTCTGAGATGGGGGGAAGGGAGGAAAAGGTAGGGAGATGGACCTAAGAACAAAACAGCAGCAACGAACCAAGGGAGAAAACTAAGTCACTAAATATGATAGCAGAATGCAAGATAACACAATATAATACAGTGTAATTGGAATTGAAGCTAATAAATAAAATAAAATGAGAGAGTATGTAAAACCTAAGGCCTTATTCTAAAGCTGAAGGCGAGACGGCTGGGGAGTATACACCATAAATACAAGCACTAAAATAAGGGGCAATCTCATGAGTCGTGAGCAGTTTTATCTTTCCTTCTGAATGGAAAATGGAAACAACCAGCAAAGTCTTCTGGGAGCTGTAGTTCTTCTCTTCAGTAAAAGGTATCCTGGAACTATGGACAATGCATGGAACAAGAGCATTAACTCTTTAACTTCCAGTGCACTACACGATGTTGTGATGTGGAATATCGATAACAAAAATCATAAAACCATGACAGTTCACAGTATCACAGAATGGCCAGGGTTGGAAGGGACCTCAAGGATCATGAATCTCCAACTCCCCTGCCACATGCAGGGCCACCAACCTCCCCATTTAATACTCGACCAGGCTGCCCAGGGCCCCATGCAACCTGGCCTTAAACACTTCTAGGGACAGGGCATCTGAAAACTCACGATGAAGTGATAAGAGGCACAAAAAAGAGACACATTCTGTTTTCATGGGTGTTGGTTCAAACAGTTTCCCTTTATAGTGGAGAAGTCTCTAACTGATACCATTCAAAAGCCAGTTAACTATTGCAAGGGGGTTTTCTGAATTGCCAGAGATTTTCTCTTCTGTGTTACTTCATTTGCATTTATCGCCTGTTAGTGGTTTTAAATAGCAGGTGCAACTGGGAACAGGAGTGCTCCAAGCAGGGAAATGCTACCTTTTTCTCAACTGTCATGGATGCCAGTGATTGAACTTAGCTGGACTTCTTTGATGTGCTAATGCTAAACCTTCACAATCCTCATGAAGTACTACTAGTCGTGAGCACCACCAAGGCCTCAGGCTTTTACTTCGTTTCATATATATCACTTGCACAGAATAAAAATGAGACATATAATTTCCTTCTACTGTAATGTCAAAATTTGAGAGGCCCGGGATTAGACTGTCCTTTGTTGGGCCTTTGTTCCTCTTATTTTAATTAATCAGGCAAAGTATCTTGCTCAGAAAATTAGTATGGGTAGTGTGCTCAGTACAGAATGAATGTTTTCTATTGAGAGTCTAATTTAATGTATATCACAGAGGGTTTTGATATGTGTCTAGAAAGGCAGCAAATAAGAAAATAGAGAAAAATCAAATTCAGATGAGAAAACTGAATGTTTTACTTGGTAAAGAATGTCATAATATCATCAGAAAAAAACTTCGACCAAGTTCTGGGGCTTGAGAGTGTTAATCTCATTAGTTTCATATTATTATCCAACTGTTAGCTCCTGGATCCTTATAGAATCATAGCAATTCATGTCAGATACTGAATAGAGTTAGAGATTTAAGTCAATTTTTGAAAAGTAGCTGTATTTTCTTCTCTTATTTGAACTCAGCTGTGGTTTACTATACTCAATTACTGACTAGCCAAGTTGTACTTTAATGGTTGTCTGTCATGCTGCTGAAGAAGCCCAGGTTTTTCCATAAAAGCTGAAGATGCATTTGTTTTAAGCAGGGATTACCATTCTTGCCAGTGGAATGTTAGTAGTTTTGTTTAATTGTAATGTGGGTGTAAACATGTGATTTCCATGGAAATTAATTTAGTTACAGGAGGTTTTTTTTTCATTTTCTATACTGATGTCTATGCTAAACACAGCTGACAAACATATGTAGTTTAAAGAAAACTCAATTACCACAGGAGCAGAGTATAGTGAACTGCTCAGTATATGCATGTATTGCTTTTCTGGATGAAGCAGGAACTGCTTGAGATCTTGTCTGTTTACTCTTTAATGGCAATAATTTCATAACAAAACCTTACTTCAGTACTCTTTAAAAATTTTAAACAGAAAGTCTCTTACTCTGTGTGAACAGACATCAGATTTACTGAAGTCTGAAACACTTTTTAAAGAACTTCCTATATTATTCCAGGGTAGGATAAAGTTTATGTGATATTTCCAAACCTCTACAGGCAGTTTTACTACTGACCCTACATTTTAAACTTCTGAAGTTGTATTCTTTTTTCCCCCTTGTGTAAGTATTCCAGTTATGTTTTTTGTTTAGTGGGTTGTTTTTTTTTCTGTTGTTAATGTGCTCTGATACAAATGCATGCTGCAATTTCAAAATATGGTGTATTCATATAACGTACGCAGATGTTTTCAACATACTCTAGAAAATGTCAGTTTTAATTATTTCATTAGCTAGGGGGACAACAAAGTGTTGAAATGGGTGGTAGCTTTGCTTCTGAGAGCATTATTTAAGAAAGGTTTCAAATTCGTATCAGACAATCCTTTCTGACAACCCAGTCAAACAGTAGATGTAACATTTAGATAACATTTTTTCTGCGTATACACAAAGTTTTCTTATATTTTAGCCAAGCGTAACTCTATGCAAACTCTCAGCTATTGGTTTCCTTCCTTAACGTGTTATCATACGTTTACCATTTGTCTAGATTAACTATATTGCTACTAAAGCTTACTTTATAACAGGAATGGGCTAGTGTGGCACTGTGAGTGACGTTGAGCTGCTGATCTATAAAATAACATTAAAATAAAATCCACATTCTGAATGTGTTACTTCCTCACTGCCCTTCCTATGGGGACAATCTTTTTACTCATTAGCTGATTGCTCTATGAAGACTGCTGCTGAGATGTCTGCAGCCCTTTTCCCTGATCTTTTATTTTTAACCTGGAACTGAGTAAAGAACATTAGCACTCTAATTATGCCTTGTAGATAATTTGTATTAGCATGTAGATACAGAATGCTACAGAAATGCATTAGCAGATGTCATCATATTCTATCATCATATTGCAGTTGTATTCAAAATCTGATTGCAAATAGTAGCAGCCTTTTAATACACAATTACATATTTTCATAATTCAGTGCACTTTCTGTTTTGTCTTTCCAGTTATGGCATGAACTGTCTCATTCAATTTGAGGATTTTGCTAATGTTAATGCATTCCGCCTGCTGCATAAATACCGTAACAAGTATTGCACTTTCAATGATGACATTCAAGGTAACAAACTCTTTTTCTTCTCTTCTGATGCTTACATGTCAGAGAAATAATTTTCCCTATGCTACTTGAGGATGTTAGTATGAGGTCACATTTAGCCTTGGGTTTCCTCAGCATGGCTTTCTGGTGAGCTGTCTTTGACCTTAACCTTTCCTCTCTCATTTATTTTCCTTCTCATGCTTTATTTAGATGTTCACTCTTCAGGGTTTTTTTTCAGTAGTTCAATGTGTGCTTAGCTTTCTCGTATAAACGATTTACTCCAGATCTTTGGGCAAATGTCAGGTTTCAAGCCTGGACTGCACTTCTCTCAGTTTTTTTTTTTATTATTATTATTTTGCCTTTCCAGTTACAGCTGCCATTTCCCTGAGCAACAGAGCTTTCTTGATAAATGTCAACATTTATTTCAGTTCTTACACTGACAACTCAGCTAAGTATCCTGATTTGTGTTGCAGTCTCAGGGCCACATTCAATTTTAGAGGGAAATTATCTCCCTGACTCTGCTTTCCAGTCTGAGTCATTTGTAGCAACTGATGAAAGGAAAAGATCAAGGATGAGAATAAAGATTTCCATTGAGAAAAGTCGGCAGCAGATGTCAGAGCCTGTGTGACTGTGCTCTGCTGTGATTTCTGGGTTTTGCCAGTAAGCAAGTTCTCGGTCTGGTAGGCCTTGCAATGTCTTCCTCCCAGGAAAGGAGACAAATTCCTTTGTGAGTTATCTAACCTCTTGTCAGGAGAACAGCACTGGAAAATGACTTCTCCAGGGCCTTAAGTGCACGATTTCCTTGCCAAGAGACTGAAGATGGAAGTACTGGGGAGAGGCACCCAGGGAGGGAAGGATCTGTGCACCCAGCTGCCTCATGCCCCTTCACGAATTCAGGTGTTCCCAGCACAAGTGAGATAAAAACTGGGAATTGAGCTCTTTTAATTTCCAGCACCTCTCAGGGATACAAAGCCAAGCAGTAGGTGCTTCAGTTTTTAAAATCCTTTTTGTGCTGCTCATGGGACCTAGACCCTATTTCAGGGACTCATGAGTTCCTTAGTCATGCAACCACACAGAATCTTTAAATTTATTTAGTTTCTGCAATTTAATTTGTCTTTGAGGGTCTTTCAGTATTTCCCTTGGTGATATTTTGGACTTCAGGGTAACCTCCAGCCGCAATGCTTATATATCTTCCAGAAGGTGAAGGAAGATGCCATTAATCACAGAATCACAGAATCACTCGGGTTGGAAGGGACCTCAAGGATCATGTAGTTCCAACCCCCCTGCCTAGCAGGGCCACCAAACACACACATTCAGATCAGGTTGCCCAGAACCCCGTCCAACCTGGCCTTGAACACGTCCAAGGACGGGGCATCCACAACCTCCCTGGGCAGCCCGTTCCAGGGCCTAACCACTCTCCTTGTAAAGAAATAATTATAATAGTAATTATTTTTAATAACATTACAATATAATTCTGTATTATTAAAGAAATTATGTTTTATAAATAATAAATAATTTATTTTGTATGTATTTATTTTGTAAATAAATATTTAATTTTATAGTAATTATATTTTAATAATAAAGAAATAATTATAACAGGTTATGTTATTAACCTGCCTTAGCTCTCTGTCATTTGTCCTCATATCTCCACAAAAAAACCTTCAGTACCTTTTTTGTAGATTGCCATCTTCCCCTGTAATGTGGAAGTGGAATAACAGCCCAAATACAGATCCAAGGATTTCTTTTTCCTTTTCCCTCTTCCTTTTCCAAGTGTGTAACACCTTAGGATCTATCACCTGACCACATTACTGAGGTAGATGGTGCTAATCTCTCAGCAGTCCTCAGAGGTTTTCCATTTCTAACGGTATTTTTCAAAAACTGGAACAGGTTGCCCAGTGAGGCTGTGCATACCCCCTCCCTGGTATCATTAATGGCCAGGCTGGATGGGGCTTTGAGCAACCCGGTCAAGAGGGAAGTGTCCCTGCCTCTAGCAGGAGAATGGAAACTTAGATGATCTTGAAAGGTCCCTTTCAATCCAAAGCATTCTATAATTCTCCAACACTGACTTGTTTTTATTAGTAATCTTACATATAGGAGAAATACTAGTATTTTCATGTCAAGCTTTACAAAATTTTTAAATGCCTCATTTAAATTAGGTTCAAAAATCTGATTGTTTCCAGTATATTTAGGAAAGAGAGATCATAAGGATAGTGTGGATTTTTCTTTAAGACACAGGTGTTTTTTTCTCTCCCAAAGTTCTGCCTCGCACCAATGCTACAAAATGAATCAGGGTTTCTGAACACAAAGCAAGCAGATTGTTAGGGTGGAAGATGGTCTCCACTTGGTGAGCCCCCCTGAAAGGAGACAGTGTTGGGATTCACAGTTCAGGAGCCTGAAAAATCCCCTCAGAGAAACTATCCTGTTCTGTTTCCTGCCACAAGGTTGTTGAAGAAACCTGCTAATGCTGATTAAAGAAGATGTAGATCTGGAATAACAGTGTCTGAAATCTTGAGTCCTTTGCTAAGCAGGTGGCACGCTGTGTATACAGTCAGGAGCAGCCTTGGTGCCTGCAGTTATGCCCCTGCTGCTGTGGCAGCCTGGGTGCTGGGTGCCTCTGCAGTGGTGGAGCCCCTCATAAAGCCCAGCTGTGGGCAAGGTAGGATGCCACACTCCCTTCCCACTCCCAGTTTGGTTTTGCTGTTCCTGTTGAAAGACTTTTTGGTACTCAAGCACAATCAGTGGCTCAAGGCAAGTTTCCATGACTTAGGAGCATTCATTTTATGTGGTTCTCTTAATGTTTGTCACACAGTGATTGCTTTTAGTCACTGCTGATGTGGATGAATTTCTCTAGGTTGCCAATTATTTCAGCCAACTGTTGTGATTTTCCCCACCTTTGTAGTTCAGAATTGCCTCAATGGGAAATGACAAACTTCTAGAGCTAAGCCAATCTATCTAAGATGTTTCTATGTGCATATAATTCTGTAAGTTTTTATTTAGCATTCTAGCACTAATTTATTGTGCTATTATGGGCACAGAACCTGCACTTTATGCCAACAAAAATAATTTCAATACAGCGTAATTTCTCCATGTAAATAACTTCAGTATTCATCATGATTTTAGATGTCATTTGTTTTTAACAGCTGTGTGCTGTTTAATTGAATCAAAACTTTATTAAAAACAACAAACCTAAAGTAAAAATGTAGAGCATATAGAGTTTAACATTATTACTTCATTTTCTGTGTTCTGATTTGAATTATATGATAAATTTTTAGCAGACCACTTCAGTAATTGGGGAAATAAGACTTGAAAGTTATATTATGACCAATTCAACATTTAGTCAGTGCAGTTCTCAGAAATCTGAATTCTCTGTGAAAAATATTCTCCTTTTCAAAATGTATTTCTTTTTAATGCTAACATTGAAAATGTTTCACTTAGTAACTGGAAATTCCAGTCCTTGAAATCAATTGGAAAAAAGGTTTTGTTTTTGTTGTGATGGGTGTGGGGAGTCAAATCTATTCTCTTACAAGGAACTTGGGAAATGTGAAATTGGGAGATATATAGTAATTGAAATGTTTATATCATATCTCAAATTCAGATAGTGAGTGTAAACTATACAAACTTATTTCTTAATATGGGGTGAAATGTGCTTAGAGGTGGAACAAATGTTAGAATCTTTTAAATTTAATACCAATGATAATAATAACAACCCTACCAAGACATTTACCATAGGTCTGTGATAAAGTGTCTTTTTCTTCTCGTATATGCACGCTGTCACCTGTCCATACTGGTAAATTCACGCTGAAATCAACATGTTTTCAAATAAGTCCCCCAGAGTAGCTTTTGTATACCTTCCCAAGTGTATGTACAAGAATGTGCATATACACGTATTCTTCTCTTTCATTTTTCCATCATTATGGGTGAAAAAATCTTGCCTTCAGGCAGCCTGTTCCAAGTGCCTCTGCTTGGGCAAGAGCTTCGCTCTCCATCACTCCTTTCTAGCCTCAGTCAACAACAATTCTTTGCTTTATCGCTCCTCAAAGATACCATATTTGCTCTTTTTCAAAGGCTCCACTCCTGCTTCCCTGCACGTTACCGCCCTCCTTGCACTGCTCATGCTGCAGTGTGGAGCAGGGATAGGATTTCTATAGGATGTGAACTACCCTTAGCCTTTACCTCACTACTAAATGAGATTGCACCTTTTAGGTAGGACACTTACTCTCACGGTTTTTTTTCCCAGTAGGAGTAAAAGAGGACAATGCATTTTTTCCAGCACTCTGTGTCAGTTTGAAGAATGACACTGTTAGCATATGATTTCTATTATGTTGTGTTTTGAGAAATACAAGTTTTGGTTTTACCACTTCCTAATACTTCAGCCCAGAATGAATACTTAAGATCTTAAGATGTTCTGCAAAGCTTCCTCTCCTTTTGTTTGCTTTGTTTGCTAGCATTTAAAGATGCTGTTGAGAAAACAAAATAAAGGAAATAATGATCTGATTACATATATTTTTTTTAAATTTAAATAATGTGTAAGTGCTTCAGTGCCATAAATCAGTTATTGCTTATTCAAATTAAACTGCATCCAAAAAAAATTAAGTTCCCCATCCTTTTGTTCTGGGGCCTTTCCCCTCTTTTTTTTTTTTTTTTTTTAATTGTTGCATCTACTGAAAGAAGAGTGCTCTGTAAAGCATTTTCAATGTACTAGCCCTGAAGTCTGTGGTTTCTAGGAATTCCTGTAACATCATATTGCTTACAGTACCAAGCAAGACTAAGCATCTTGGATTGAACACAAAAACTTGTTAAAGAACAATGCACTTCCAAATTTCACATCTAAATTGACATTTCCTTAGAAAAATACCTTTCATTATCAGTCTTGCTATGGCTATTGTGTAGAAAATTTGGGACAAAGGAATCCATTTTCAAAACAATACCAGTGTTCGTTTTAATCTGCACAGAGAGGATTTAACCTATGCTCTGTGAGAGAGAGAAGGAAAGCCAATTCTCATCATGAAAGAGAGAGCGGAAAAAGCAGTGAGATTCTTTTTCTGCACTGCAACATCCTCCAGAACCAGTTAGGCTCTGGCAGTTTGATATGAATTGCATTTTAATCCTTTTCAAAAACCTGACTTGGTGTTCACAGTGAAATGGAAGATGGGAGCAGTTCCGGTCAGACAGATCTGCTTTTCACTCAGTCAGCTGCTCTCCTTCCATGAGGAATGAATGAGGGAAGCTGGTGATGAGGAGTGATGACAGCTGCTGCCATCAGCAAACAGTGATAGAGAACTCAGTGCTCTAATAAATGGGGTCATTATGCTTTCTAGAGGCAAGAAAAACAATACAGAGTATGTCTAAATTACCATTTTCAGGGCAGTTCTTGTGTAAAAATTGTAATTCATGAGAAATGCAGAATATTTGTGTGTTGCTAACCTAAACTTTCTGAATCATCCTCAGAATGAGCATACGGGTAGCAAAAGCTCACATAACATGCAAAATTTAATTGACTTTCAACATAGTATAGAGTCTCTTTCAACTCAAATGATTCTATGATTCATTTTTTGTATTTTATGCCTTTTTCCTTAAAACACACTTACAGAGTCAACTCTGTAAAAATATTCCAACTGATCAGATATAATCACAGTTCATTTTTCCAGCTAAAAAAACTTAGCAATACATCAGCCAGGAAGATAAGCAGGGTCCCAGCATTCCCATTCATGATAAATTAACACTATTTTATTTTGTCTCCATCACTAGCAAGCAGCCTTGGAGAGAAGATTTCCTGCTCTCCAAGAGTTCCAATGTTGTCAGGGAGCGGCTGCGCTGTGATTTCTGGCCATCTCCTGCCTGACAGAAGGGACTGCAGGAGCTGGGAATGGGGCCTTCTTTTTCAGGGGGGCAGATCAATGGCTTTAGGAGTCAGCTATGTTATGTCAGCTTCCTCCTCCTCTCCTGCAAACACAGCTGTGTAACATAAAATAGAAGAAAGCACTTGGCATCCAAAGAGAGAATGGGGTTTTATTGAAGGTTATGAGGATTGTTTGGTAGAGTACCAAGGGAAACTGAGAAGGAGGTCTGATTTTCTCTGGTTTGCCATTATTGGTCTTTGCCAACTTGGCACTTTCCAGAGGAAGACTTAAATTCGTCTGGGAAAGAAACAAACTAACTCTTGGACACTGCTGGGTGGAAGTGTCTCAGCCTGACACTTGGTGTTCCTGAAGCGATGCCTCAGAGGAACCATTTTTTATTTTTATTTTTTAAAAATCCAGGAGAAGAGAGTAAATGATCTCAGCTCTGACCAAGTAATAAAAATGACTAAAAATGACAAAACTGTATGGTCTAAGCATTAAATGGGCTAAGAACAAGATGTCCTGTATTCCTGAGGATTGAAGGGAAACATCATAATGGAAAGCACACAACAAATAATTTTTTTCTTTAGTCCTATAGGCATGCTTCTTAACTGTTCAGATGCACCTCTTAGCTTTAAAATATTTGCTCAATTTTTACCAAGAGTTACATTTTTTAAAACTATTTATTTATGAAAACTAGATGTTCCTACATAAAAACCGCTAATTCAAACCAGACTTTCAACACCAAATGGTGTCTTTTAAGGACAGATTTACCTACTCCCAGGTTTTCTACTACTGCTATTCTTTTAACTTGTTCGCTACGTGTGTTTGACACTTAGAGGTTTGTGTGCCTACAATGTGAAAACCTGTTTTGACCATCTCCTTGAGCTTAACATAGAGGTTACAGCTTTAAACTTGGCTTTGCTTGTGGGAAAGTGAGCTTGTGACTAGCAAAAGTACCTCATGCAGGGGAACTGTATGTTGAGGGGAAATGGCCAATGTGCAGTTGGCCAGGTGCTTTTGAAGGCCTCAAGTTCCTCTGAAGGAAAAGTCAGTAGTAATGTGAACCATACCCTCAAAAGAATTATTACAGAAGTTTTCAGATGCAGTGGGAGGGTTGGTGCCTCAAATAAGCTGGTCTAGTCCTTTCAGCTCCCTTGATTTCTCTGTAAATGTTTGCAATTTGCTTTTCTACTCTTACAACATCTGCATGAGAAGTAAGGGTTTATTATTATGTAGTAGTATGGCCATTATAGCATTATCAGTTCTCAACAGTTCCAAAGAAATGTTATCTCCGGTAGGTTTGGTGCAGATACCTGTTTCAAGAGTGACTCTGTTCTTAATTTTCAGTATCTGGAACCATTCAGAATGCTTCTTTCTGGGCTATCCAGTTTTTTTCTTCCTGAAAAAGATTTTAACTAGAATATTTTGTCATATTTTGGTTGCACCAGTCATGTTGCCCATTCAATAGAATGAATTGGTTGATGATAGAATGAAGATATTCCCACCTACACCTTATTTTCATAAAGACAAAGTATAGAAAACTGCAGTTCCACTGAATATTTGCTTACTAGGCCAAGTATCTGTATCTTAGCTGAAAGTGACCGTGAAATCATATGAAATGTATGCCTAATGCCTTGTAGTTCTTTGTGGACTAATAAAAGACAACCATTTATTTCTTCAGGAACAGCATCTGTGGCAGTTGCAGGTCTTCTTGCAGCTCTGCGTATCACTAAGAACAGGTTATCAGATCACACAGTGTTGTTCCAGGGAGCTGGAGAGGTATGTGTTTTTAGACAGCAGGAGTTCTACTTTGAAAATGTTTCTTAATATTTATTTAAGTTATAATGCATCCAATTTGCAAGGAGATAAAACAGGCAGAATTATCACTGAGACCTGATAAAAGTCACTGCTTAATTCAAATGTAAACTTACAAAAAATATTCTCTGATCCTGTAGTCAGGCCTCATATTTTCACAAGGAATTTTGAGATCTGTTCTCTTTTTAAACATGAGGCTTTAGCTCTTCAGATCTCAGTAGAAACTTAAAAAACAAAAACCAAAAACAAAAAACCTGGATAGATAGAAGAAATATTTTAGATAGCCAAAGAGATAAAAATCTAATATATTTATTTCTATGTGTTATTTAGTAAGAAGCAGTGCCCCTGTAATTTTTTCCTCTCATTAATTATAGTTCTCTACTATTCTTCATGTGAAGACCATGAATTTCTGAAGATTTTTATGAATGCTTGTTTTTTGACACTAGTTGTTCCACATACATTCCCAGGCTGCTGACACACAAGTCGAAGTTGTACTTATCCATAGCGTGGCTGTCAACTGGTATATGAAATAAGACCATGGTGCCATGAAAATTTGTGAAAAATATTATTCATGGTCACAGATCCCCTTTGTAGGGGCAATAGATTAACTCATCTTTGTGTAGTCCAGATATTTTTAATGTGATTCAATATTTGATTTTACTGAAATAGACCAGCTGTGTGGAGAATGCCTGGTGTAAGTCAGTGCCTTTTTCCGTCAAGACTGTCAGTCTCTACTGTTCTTTCTCCTGACTTTGCTCCATGTTCAGCAGACAGATGAATTCACAGTCAAATGTTTTGGGGTTCTCTTATCAGTTTTTTCAGTGTTTCTGTGCTGCAAAAAGGTTATTGTATATATCCTCCCAGCCATGTGAGCTGGGAAGTACGTATTTCTTAATTGTATTTCTTAATTGTTAGGTAGAAAAAGGGAACCTCACTCAGTTGATTCTCAGTGAAACTGAAAAATAAAGAACAAGAATAATACCATTAATATACAGGAGTTAGTAATCAAAAATACCAAGTAGACTGTTGACTCATTTTGTTGCCTGCTTTTCAATCTGTTCCTGTATTTGATCTGTTGGCTGAAATAAAAAATCCGTTAAGAATGATATGTTTCAGCAAAATATTGATAAGTGATTTTTTTCTTGCCCCTGCATTCATTGGGAGCACAGCCAAGTCTACAGTTACAAAATGCATGAACAGTAGGTAAAAGGAGATTACTTTCTTGATGGACATTTTAAAGAAAGATAAGGAACAAAAATTCTTTTAGGACTGCATTTTACTTTCTGGTAGAATGTGATTTCCTTTGGCTTAAATTACAAAGAAAAACAAACCTTTATGAACAAAAAAAACCATCAAAAAACAACCTACAATTTTATATGATTGTATGGGATGTGTTAGTTTTAACATTTAAATTAGAGTTTGGTTATTATGCTATCCACACTTCAATTGCCACCCTAAGGTGTATCTCTACTTTTCAATATGGTTTCTAATTACTGAATATTAGTGCCCATTCATTACTATTTTATTGTTAAATAAATGAGGTGACTTATTTAAAACAATGTCTAGAGGAAACAAGTCAGTAGGGGATTTCTTTCATTTCTAGTTTCATATAGTTCTTTTATTTTTCCTACAGGCTGCACTGGGGATAGCAAACCTAATTGTTATGGCTATGGAAAAAGAAGGGATGTCTAAAGATGCAGCTATCAAAAGGATATGGATGGTTGACTCAAAGGGATTGATAGTGAAGGTAATACACTTTGCTTATTCCTTTAAATGCTGTGATAGTTACTAGTAGTCTGTAGATAAAGGCAAAAACATAGTTTTTATAACAGGAACTACAGCAGTTCTTCTCTCTTGTCATAGCAAGCATTTTTCTTTTTCTTTTTTTTTTTTTTAAGTGTATTAAATAAATAACAGGCTCCCATTTTACTTCAAGGGAAGGTTGATTACGCCTGGAGTTTCTGACCATTTCTATTAGAGATGAGAAAAGAATTTCTCAGCAGTTCATGAAAAAAACGGTGTAGGAAATAAGTGTTCAACTTGTGAGTTTAATATTCCCCATGTTCACACTACTTTTATTTGTTAGTGTAGTCTTGTATGAAGATGTTTGTATATGTGCTATTAGCAAAATATTCAAAGATTTTTTTTAAAAGAAGGAAAATATTTTCAAGGTGAATGTTTTCCTGGTGCTGCAAACATGTCTTCCTTCTTTGAGAATGGAGATATATTGCTTTGAATAGCTTCTATGCACAGCGATAGAGTTCATATTGCAGATGTTGTGGTCTGCAGTGCTATCAACATTGGTCAGGATTTGAAATTGCTGAGAGACTGCATCAGTCACCCTTACTTCATTCCTTCTGTGTGCCAAAATAAGGAAACATATGTATTCCATGTGCCAGAATAAAGAAACTGGGTATGTTTTAAAAGGTGGTTATGTATTTAATGGTTTGTGAGCTACTTAAAAGAAATGTACGAAAGGCTCTTTGGCTCTGCTTTTTCACCCTACTTTTTGGTTAGCATTGTTTGTGGCCATCTTTGTTGGCACTGTACTCTTTTGTGGTGTTCTTTAGTTGTCTAATATTTAAGATATTTTGTAATTCACGTGCATTTGCATGAGGAGCATGAATTCAGCACTGTGTATGTGAGTTAGTTTATTAAACAGTATCACAACACCCTTTGTTTGTCTTATTACAGGAAAAATAGTAGGATCATAGACACTGAGATGTGAAAACACTGTGCAAGTCATTTTGGACATTTTTTGCTAGATGGCATAAAAATTGTCTGATGGGTACAGAAAAAGCCATAACTTGCTACAGATTAAGATACAGATATTCTTCTGTTTGTTTCGGGTTTTTTAACCAAAAGTTTGTAATGCTTTTGGTTTCATCTAATATGCGTAATGTGTTCTGGGTCCTGACACAGATAAGTGAAGGGTTGTGCATCTGCTGTAGCTGATGAAACTTAGAGGTTGTCTAAGACTAATAATGCATTGCTCAATTTCCTCCACTGTACTGACTGGGAATATAATTACAAAAATAATACAACTGGGTTCATGGGTAGAAATGTAAGAGCTTCACAGCCCCAAAACAGTAAACCTGGCCTTGTAGCATGGCTATGCTACCAAGGTTGTTAAGCAGCCTTTCTTCCCTTCTGCTTCTTTTACACCTCTGACTTCTGCTGCTAATTTGCTAGCCAGCCGAGAAGCCAGGTTGTTGCTCTTGGTACTCACAACTCATTCCTTTCACAGTTTCTAATTTTTTAGTGCTTCAGTGACCGTATACTTTCCTCAACGCCTTCTAGCTTCAGTGCTCTCAAGCAGGGCCAAAACCAATCACTCTCTTACACAGTTCTTAAGTTCCTTTCTTCTGCCTGTTCTTTCTGGTGGGGCTTTACTTGGGTTTTGTCCAAAGAGCAGTCCACTGAATTTCATGTCCTGCCTGAAGTATATTTGTGAACTGTTCATGATAGCCAGACATAACAGTTATCTGAGATAGATTAGGGCTGACCACTACTTGGCTTGCTGGAGAATTTGAGACCAGCTGTTGATGCAAGCAGTGGGATCCAACAGTATGCATTTCAAGACCATGCTCGTTGTCCTGGAAGATCTGCGGGCAATGATCATAGAGCCAGGCAGAGCTGGAGGGGCTTGAGAAGGGGTGGCCACTTCCAGCCGTGGTATATTTTGTGGCAGAGCCAGCTGGAACTAGAAGTTGGTGACACTACAGTGCCAAGCCTGAGCTGAGTGTGAGGAAAATTGTTCTTGGTCAAGAGCTCTGCAAATCCTGCCTTGGCTTTCTTCTGATCCTAGATATCCTAAACAAAAATTGTAAGTAAATAGATGTAAAAAAATCTTAGGCCTCTTGAGGCTAGTGATTTAACTGCCAGGAAGTCATATTTACAGTAAGTAAATAATTAAGTTCTTCCTGGTACCATTTTTCTGGTCTGAGAAGGAACACCATGCTTTATGTACACTTAGGAAATTACTCTGGCTTTAGCTGATTAAGGAAAAGTGTTGCAAGAGTCAAGAGACTTTCCAAACTCTTAGAGATGAGATAAGAGAACAGGAACATTTTTGAGAAAGCTGAACAATAGGAAGGATTCTATTCCTAGAAACCTTTTCATTATTGCTAACAGAAGATTCATCAAGCAACAGATTAGCTCACCCATTAAACAACTTTTGCTTAACCTAAACTGACTCTTATTTCTTACTGCTATCAAAGGTCTATCAAGAAAACCTGTACAGTGAGAGTCCCTTAAGATTTGTCTTATCAAAAACTGCCTGACCAAAAGTAGTAGTCCTGGAAACCGGGAGACCCTTTCAGTCCCAGAAATATTCTGATCTCTTGTTTTAACAGTATGAAGAACAACAGATTCTCTAAAGACTCAGCAATTATTTTGTCCAAGTAAATTATTTTTTACATCTATTTTTTTTTCTGTTCTGTCCTTTGATCACTGATTTTTGCAATGCGTGGTTATAGATTTAATCATTGTTTCTCCTTTCATCTGCTTTGAATAGCATTTCAACAAGTATAATCCAAAGAAAAATAACCTTGGGACTTTCGTTGACCTGCGTATGGACATCTTCCATCTTTTCTCCCTCCACCACCCCCAAAATCTGCCACGAAGTCACTTATTAGGCTTTTGCAGCTGATTTTTCCTTTGTGGGTTTTTAATTGTTCAAGTACAGCTGTGTTTTCATTTTCTTGTATTTTATGCTTTTCTTTTTCCTCTGGGAGCAATTTTTCTTCATTAAGCTGAGTTTGATGACCAGCTTTTCTGCTATGTTGTGGTGAAAGAGCTGGTGGTAAAGGTTACATTTATTGTACTGTCTACAGTTTTGCTCTCTGATTCATTCTGAATACCTTGTAATGCTCCTATTCATGAGGGCATGTTTTGTTTATGCTATTTATTTATTTGTTAATCTGCTTATGTTGTTGCTTTTGCACTCTTGAGTATTAGGAGATTCTGTCATGTAGTTGGGACTCATCTTTAACTCTGAATTTTGTCACAGAGACTGACTGGTATATGCATACTGAACTATATTAATCAATATGTATTGTCTCCCAAATTCCTATTCGTTCCTAGTTGCTATCCTCATTTTTCTTCTCTTAATGATACTACACATAAGTGTGATATGTTCTGAATGCATTTTATCTTCTTTGAAGCTGCCATAATGTCATGCTTAGCTACGTCAGTGACCAAATCTTCACCCATAATCTTCAAAGACAGTGCATTCATTTGTGCCAAGTAGCCAAGAAAAGGCAAAAACTTAAGAAGAGTCTTATGATGTTCATCTGAGGGAGTTGATCCCAACAACAAAAAAAAAAGATGATGCTCACCATTGTGTATATTTTAGTCAAGTCCTGCAAAACCTTCCTGCAGGGTAGTTCTTGAGCTGCATAGAGGATTATGCAAATAATAAGTAAGTTTTAATATTTAAAGAGAGTGTACCTATGCTGCAAAATATAATTTAATTCTTTTGTGAAGTTTACCTGTAATTTGCAAGATTGCTTGTATGCCATGTGATTTCCAGTGCAAAAATGAAATTCCATAACATGGGGATAAATATTATCCTTCATTTTGAAGAGTATATCAACATGAAATATATTGGTCTTGGCAATTTTTTACTCTGTACTTCAGCACATCAACACTTTTGTGTAATTGAGTACTTTGTATTTTAAATGTCCATCAGCTATGTGATTTCATTCCCTGTAAGACTTCTGGGCAATCTGGATGAAGTGGTGCTCAGGGACGTGATTTAGCAGAGGGTTGCTAGAATTAGGGTAGTATGGTTAGGTTGTGGTTGGACTTGATGATCTTTAAGGTCTTTTCCAACCTGAGTGATTCTATGATTCTAAGTCCAAACTGAATGGCAAGATCAGTGTCCCAAAATACTGAACTCTCTAAGAGGAGGACAATGACAGACACCAAAATGTTGGTTTTCTGTTGTCTTCATTATTTAGAATGAAGATACCAAAGTAATCCTCTAAAACATTTTCAGAGGAGCATAAACTTTCACAATTCCCCTTTTCCTACTCACTTTTGAATATCTCTGGCAATCTTATTTGGAAATTTTACTCATAAGCAGTGAATTGACAATGGGAACAATCGTCTTTAAAATTCATGGCTTAGTCAAGATTTGATACATACACAGTTCAACCTTGTCTTAGAGAATGGTGGAAAAGAAAGGACATTTGAGACTGACAGAATTACAGTGCCATCTAGGTGTGGTTGCTCACCTTACAAACAGGACAACTGGTAATATGTGAATGATCATTTGGTGCTCAGAATCCGATTCTGACTGTCTGAATTTTACTGATTTTTTTCAGTATGCTTGTAATCAATTCTGTTAAAAATTGCTTAAGAAAAACCTTTGAACTTCATTCTAGGTTTTAAAGCCATTTTATACATGGTTTAATATTCTGTATGTTGTTTAATGTTATATCTGCTTCTTCTGTGAACTTTTTAGTAATCTCTGCCTTCCTGTTTATCAACAGTCAATTGTTCTGACTCTCTACTTCTGTCCTTTGTCAGATCATTTATGTCTGATTGCAATTGCCCCTGACTTTTTGAGCCAAAAGACCCTTGCATCTTAGCAAAGATACAATGTCTGGGGTATCTCCAAGCATCATAGTCACTTAAAGCGATCTCTGTCTTATTTTACTCATGTACTGACTCAGTGTAGTACTCTGTGTTTGTTTCTACTGTTATTCTCATGACTGGGGAAATAGTCTGTTCAGTTTCATC